ATGTATAGCTCTATTTATTTTCTTTAGAAACCACTTTGAAGAAACCAAAGTATAGTACAACAACCATTGATAATAATCCACCACTTTTGTCTGTAACTCACTGTTATCTATTTGTTTTCCTGAGAAACTATCTTGTAGATAACAATATGTAAAACACAACCATTGATAATTTCCTACCAGTTTGTCTGTAATTCGGTTAAGCCCCCCTATTACTGTTATCCTTCTTTTACTCTTTAAAATAAAAAGTAATATGGATTTATGATCTAATTTAATCTGCCTAACAATCCTATGAAGTCAGTATTACTGTCCTCAGTTTATAGATTAGGAAACTGAGGCAAAAAATACATTAATTACATTGCCTAAAATGGCTGATTATGGTGGGGTCCACCTGTAATTCTAGTACTTGGGAAGCTGAGACAGGAGGATCTCAAATTCAGAGGCATTTATATGTCTATTGCAATATAGGACTGACTTATTGAGTTATAAAATAGTAATGTTAATATATCATTAAATATAAATATTCACATTAATACTTAAATAATATAAATTAAATTAAGTATTTGTAAATACCCAAGTAGGTGCCTTTAAATGAGAGATAAACACCTATGTAAACAGATGAACTTGAATGCTTAGAGTACAGACAAGATGTATGAATAACGTGCACACCTGACAACAGACATGGTTGTTTCTAATATGAATCCTAAGAATTCAACAGGTCATATGCTGTAATGGACATACTTAATGCGCTCATGTGAAATAAATGTTTTCTGAAATTTGGTGCCTACAGTTTTTCATTGCTTTTGTGTGGACCATATTTTTTTAACTGTCAACATTTTTAGTAGCACTCAATTAACATTTGATTTAATGGAAACTTTGTGAATCCTAGCCTGTAAGAGGTTGTGACTTGGATGAAGAATTCATGGGATAAAATCACTGACAGCCATGCTACAAGCAGGCTACCTGGACAAGAAGTGCTCAATAAGGAGACCTCTACTGCTGGACATGAGAGATTGGATTCAAACATTCTATAGGAAATGGAGCTGAAAGAAATTCAGGCCAGAATTTGGGGTTTGGAGAATTATGATGTTCCAGAATATAACATGCCTGTATTTGAATAAATGTAGTTTGTTTTTTGAGATAAGGTCTTGCCTTGTAGTGCAGGCTGGCCTTGAACTCACTATGTAGCCCAGACTGGCCTCAAACCCCCAAGCAATCCTGCCTCAGCCTCCGAAGTACTAGAATTACAGGCCCAGCTAAATGTAGATTTTTGTACATGAATAAATGTAGATTATTGTACATGGAAAAAAAAGACATCCTCTGAAAATAAGCCCTACTGCATTTTTGGGAGCAAAAATTAATATAAGCCAGGCCTTAGCCGGGTGTGGTGGCACACAGCTGTCATCCCAGCACGCAGGAGGCTTAGGAAGGAGGACTGTGGCAAATTTGAGGCCAGCCTGGACTACATAGGGAGTTCAGGACAGCCTGAACTATATAGCAAGGCCCTGTCTCAAAAAACTCAAAGAAAAAAAAAAAAGAAAAAGCCCGAGCCTTATTTTGGGGGAAATACGGTAGTGAGACCCTCTCTCTAAATCAATACTGAGGCAGGAAAATCAAATTCTAGCCCAGGGCTGGGGATTTAGCTCAGCGGCAAAGCGCCTGCCTGGCAAGCGCAACGTCATGAGTTCGGTTCCCAGTACCGGAGAAAAACCAAAAAAAAAAAAAGAAAGACAAATTGTAGCCCAACATGGTCAGTTAATCAACTATCTCAAATTTTTAAAAAAATAGTTAAAAGGCTGGGAATGTAGCTCACGGCAAAGACCCTGGGTTTAATCCCCATAATTGCAAAAAATAGCCTGAAATAACCCAGATGATATTCAGACAACAAAGTCTGGCTTCAGAATCTTCCCTGTAAGAGGAGAAATTTATAATTTCCCATTCCCAGTAAATTTCACTATCCTATTTAATCCTGATTCACCAATCCTAATCCTCACTTCATTCAGTAAAGATCTCCGAGATTTAAAGTACCTTTCAAAGCATTTTAAATTTTCACTTCATTTAAAATTTTAAACTTTAGCATTTTAACTTTTCACTTCATTTAAAATTTCACTTAAAAAGCAGCCACAGTCATTTTCAAGCCACTAAATCAGATAGTACTAGCTGATTTAGGTAATCCAGATCCACATTCGCGGAGTGCCTTTGTAGAGCTGAGATGGTATGGAAGTCAGTAACACAAGTCATGAACACACTGGCTACAGTCGGGCATGGTGGCGCACGCCTGTAATCCCAGCACTCCGGAGGCTGAGGCAGGAGGATCGTTGACGAGTTCGAGACTAGCCTGGGCTACAAAGTGAGCTCAAGGCCAGCCTGAACTGTATAGAGAGACCCTGTCTCAAAAAGACCAAAAGAATAAATACACTGCCTTTACTTTCTACTTTTCAACAATCCCGAACCAAAAAAAGCACTGGTTCTTCACTTATGGTCCTGGGTCCCTAGAATGGATGGATTTCTCCAAAATAGGCAAAAATAATTTTAAATGTGCCCCTCCTTTTTTCCAGCTTTAAATAATTTCAATATCGTTCTAAAGCGTCTATTCCAAAAATAAGTGAAGGTAAACTTAGGTCCCTTCTACAATCCAATGGCGTGAATTCAATCTCTGGCATCCGCTGTTAATGTCTCCTTTTCCTGCATTTGAAAAAAGGAAAATCGAAGACGCTTTAAACCTCTGTGGCAGCTTTGCCGACCGGTGGGAGGATCTTCCATTCGGGCGTTAAACACGCGCTTGGGAAGGGCCGAGGTGGCTTGCGGGTCGGAGAGCCGCTGCCAAGTCCGCGCATCCAGCTCTAAATTCTTAACCTTATTTAGAGATCGTCACCACCCACTCCCTGGGAACAGCCGGACCTGTCACTCGGTAAAGGAAGTGGCTGCAAGCGGCTCCTGACCCGGAAGCAGTCGTGGTCCCGCCCCCTGCGCGCCCGGCTTCCTTCTGCAACAGGCGTGGGTCACGCTCTCGCTCGCTCTCTTTCTGCCGCCATCTTGGTTCCGCGTTCTCCGCACAGTGAGTGTTGTTTGCGCCTTAACTCTGTATCTACAGCCATCCTCCTTTCCTGTGGACTGACCCACCCCGGGGATATAAAGTTTAAGTTGAGTTGGAGTCTTTGTGAGGCCACAGAGCTTCCTACTCGTTCCCCGGCCTATGGACAAAATGGGGTCTGGGGTTGGTGTATCGGCAAAAGCAGGGCATAAGGGCCGCGGGGCCGGGAATGGAGTCTGGGTATGGGGACGGGGACTTGGGGGCCGGTGCCGTGATGGGAGGCAGAGACGGAGTGTCTGTTGTTGGAAACGGCTTCCCATGAATCCGGAGGAGGTTAAGGGGTCGCAGCCTTTAGAACCCCTCCGCCGTTCTCATCCAAGCGAGCGTCGCGACTTTCGGGTCCTCTCCCCCGGCCCCCGAAAGTCGTCAGAGCGTCCCGCGGCCCCAGCCCGGGCGGTGTGAATGAGCGAGGGGAGCGGGCGCAGGGCAGCCGCTCGGGACCAACCTGGGCTGAGAGCGCAGTGGGGCTCGCCGGCCTTGCGGGTCCGGAGTGGGGCGCGGCGAACCTGGGCACGGGGACGTGCGGCGCCCGAGGCGCGCAGGGGCCCGCTGAGAACGTGGTTCGCTCGGGAGCGGGATGGAGGATCGCGTCACATGGCCCACCTGTTCCAGCCGCTTAGCGGCCCTCCTCCGAGTTTTTAAGAACGCTTTACTGGTTTGGGCAGGTGACTGCAGCCCAGGCAACTTCGGCCTCCTTTTTATTCTCTTCCTTCAGAAATGCCCGGTGAAGCCACAGAAACTGTCCCTGCTACAGAGCAGGAGTTGCCACAGCCCCAGGCTGAGACAGGTAGGTTCCCATCCCCGTCTGTCAAGCTTGACACCTAAGGCTACTTTGCGGGTAAAGTGCCAAAGAGGAAATACACTTCTGCCTTTTTATAATCTGATGTCATAAAAAGCGGGGCGGGGGGGTGCTGGCTTTACCAGGAAGGATTGACTGCTGTCCTGCAGGACTAATGTGTAAGGAATAAAGTCTGTTAAGATTTGTGGACAGTAGAAGTTCTCAGCCCTCGTGTGAGTTACGCCTGCTGCCTCCCACAGGAGCTGTGCTGTGGAACCAGCACCTCACCTAGGAACTAAAACCAGGGAGAGGAGCTCAGTGATGCTTCCTCTAGGAACGGGGTGACACACGCAGGCAGGCCAAGGGGACCTGAGCTTTTGTGAAGTTAGAGCCAGCGAGTTGCAGCAAGGTTTTGGAGAGCAGAGCTTGGCATTGTGCCGTCGTCACATGTCTGGATGAGTTATGTGCTGGTGGTGAATGTGTCCTACTGAGCCTCACAGTCCCTGGAAGTTGGTTAACGTATGTTTTAGGGGTTGGTGCTGAGATATTTTTGTTATTCGGGCATAGTGCCTAGACCATTGTCTGGATCCCAAATTGAAATTCTTGCGTTTATGTTCAGCATTGAAATTAATTAATTAATGATGGCACAGGCCCGGAATCCCAGTGCTGGGAGGATGGCCCCAAGTTTAAGGTCAGCCTGGGCTACATAGGGAGGCCATGTCTCATTTTTAAAAAGGGGGGGGCGGGGGGAATTAATGGGTGTAGAACGCAGTGTGAAGGCAAGTTTTCAGTTTTGGTTAAAATACCTAGAAAAGTTGGGGCAGTGAAAAAGAAATGTAGCATGAAAGTCTTGTTGAGTCCATTTGAAGCTTTCAGTGGTAATAAACAGCCAGCTGCTGCATGCAAGCTGTTTCTGGGCTGTAGCCTCCACCACCCACACACACCCCTGTCACTTAAGCAGTTTCTATCTTTTCTTGGAAGTAGATTTGTTTATAGTTGAAAGCATTAAGGTTCTCCCACCTGTCTGATTTTGGCAGCTGAAGGGATTAACACAGCTGCTGGAAAAGAAAGGAGGGGGCCCCTGAACTGGGAAATAAGCAATGTGAAGTCGTTAAGCCTCAAGAAACTTAAGGGGGGAGGGGTAAAGAGCTAGTCTCAAAAATCAGGGAATTTCACTACAATTTAAAAGGTTATGCCATTGAACAGATTAATTTTACAGATACAGATGCAGAGGTTGATTTAAATGAATTTAGGATAATTTGATTATAGATAGTAAACCAGTGGGTTTTTTTGTTTTGGTTGGCAGTATTAGGAATTCAACTCAGGGCTTTGCACTAAGACTGAGCAACATCCCCAGCCCTTTCTTAGTGCAGTATGGGGCGGGGGTGAGGGGTGGGGGCTGGTCTTAAGCTTGGCATCTCCTGCCTCTGCCTCCCAGAGTGCTGGCACAGATGAGCACCACCCCATCTGGTTCAACTAGTGTTACTAATTCCTGAACCATTCCTTAGTGCTTTTAAAACTAAGGATTGATTAGTCTGAGCTTGTACAGGTTTGTTGTAGGGAATACCAGTGACAAACGCTCAAGATTTTGTCTGTAACGAGTCTTATTAGAGTGAATGAAGAAGTTAGCTCCAGCTGGGCATGGTGTGCACTCTAATCCCAGCACTATGGGGGCTGAGGCAGAAGGGAAGATGACTGAGTTCAAGGCTACCCTAGATTACATACAAGGCCCTGTCTCCAAAAGAAAAGGAAGGAAAACATTAACTGAAGGCATTGAGAATGGTGTCAAAGCATTGGACCTTATTCCATCTTGAAGTCCTGCATGAAGAAATCATGTCCCATGTTTCAAATTCTAGATAATCTATCTGAAAGTATTTGCACTGGAGTCATAAGACCTTGACCACAAGTTCTCAAGGGAAAACTGGTTGAGCCACCTTTTTATCTATAATCAGATACTATAAGGCTTTAACATTAACTAGTTAAGTGAATTGTGAGTTTGTGTGCTGCCAGGTTTTTGTTTTAACACTTCCAGGCTTTGAACATTTGTTCATCTAGTATAGTGGTGGCAAATCTTTTAGAGTTTTCAACAATAGCAAATTGCCCAGTGCGGCAGACATGCCATAGGTTCGCCACCACTGACCTAGTCTGATTTTATCTCCTGAATGACAGACATGGTACTTTTTCCCCCACTCATTCAGAAAACCTTTTAGTTAGTTTCACTTTAGTCTCAAATATTGGTCTATTTTAACAGAATGACATACTTATCCAGATTAAGGGATAAGAATGCAGCGTAATCTTTTCACTTTAATTCTCCTTCCAAAATAGAACCACGGTCTAGTTTAACAAGTTGGGTCAGAGTTTCATAATACAGTCCCTACCCCTGTGACTAAGCTCTCTCTGAAGGTCTAGTTCATCTTGGATTGGTATGTAAAGACCTGAAATTATTGAGCTGACATTCTGAAGAATTTCAGCTTCAATAGAATGGAATTATGCCAGGTTCCCCTTTCTAAAACTATTTTAAGAGGTTTTTTTTTTTCCCTAGCCTAGTGAAGCCTAAAAATATACAAACCTGGGTGTTTTTTTTTTTCTCTAATTCCCCATCATCACTGCTTGCCACCTTGCTTGTTTATTCCAGTTTCAATGTGTTTCAGTTAGTTTGTGGTCCTTGGGTAGACATGATAGCACAGCTTTTCCCGTTGTGATTCTGTTGGCTATGAGAAAAGACTTAGAAATAGGATCCATTTCAGGACAGAATAAAAGAGTGCAACTGGAAAAGCAATGGGAGCGTAGACCCATTCCTGGTCCTGCGCTCCCCATGTAGAGATACATTGCTGTTAGACGTTTTCTCACCTTAAAATAGTTGGTTTATTCTGATAAAACGTGGAAAGTGTGGGACATGAGAATGATGTACTTTCACTTTACCAGTGACTTGTATTTGGGGAAAGATTTGGTGTTGTCACCTTTGTCTAATCTTGTGTGGTGACCTTCATTCTCAGATCTAAAACCTCATTGTTTCTGTGAGGCATGTTATATACCAAGTTGGGCTGCTTAACTCACCTTTTTTTTTGTTTGTTTTTCCTTCCCTTCTTTATTTTCTTTTTTGCTTTTATCCTCCAGCTGTGCTTCCTATGTCTCCAGCCTTGAATATCCCTGCTGCTTTAGGGCAGCCTGGATCTACCCCTCCCCCTCCTTGCTCCCTGGCCCCCCAGCAGTGCCCTGTGTCAGTTACAAGCCCGTCATCCCCTTTTCCCTCTCCCTCTACTAGTAGCTCAATCTCTTTAGAGGTTCCTTTTTCCCAGCCAGTCTCAGGAATGGCCATGCCTTTGGAAACTTTTCCTGACCCCCCAACTTTCCTACCACACCTCATAGGGCCTCCTATCTCCCCAGCTGCCCTAGCCCTGGCCTCTCCCATGTTAGGGCCAACTCTGAAAGGTGCCCATTCCGCTTCAGCTCCGTTGGCTCTGGTTGCATTGGCTCCCCACTCAGTTCAGCAGAGTTCAGTTGTAGCTAAGCCGGGGTCAGTGACAGCTCCGTCAGCTCCCCTCACTCCCTCAGAACCAAAGACCTCTCCCATTCAGGTTCCCTCTCAAGTAGTCCCTAATCCGAAGGATACTACCCCAGATCTTCCAGGCACAGTCAGTGGAATTCCTTCCCGCCTTGTAACTCCCTCGGCCTCTGGTGAATCTGTAGTATCTTCTCCTCAGATACCTCCTGTCACTTCTCGGGTCAAAGGTATCCCCGTTTCCCCAGCTCTGATGTCACACAACCCATTAAGCCCAAACCTGAAGGGGCCTGGTAGTTCACCTGCTGCCCTCTCTCTTTCAGCTCAGTCTGTTCCTGCAGTGGCCTCTTCCCCAAAGCCTGAAACTCCAACTATCCCCCCACTTTTCCCCACTTCTCTGAGCACTCATCCTGCACCTTTGCGTCAGAGTATTTTAGGTTCTCCTATTCCACCTTTAGGTCAAACAGGTCCTAACATTCTGTCAGATCCTATAATGAATACCATCTCTTTGGCTCCGTCTTCCATGGAGGCCTCTTATCCATCTCAGAGATCTGAGATTCCTCCTCTTCCTTCCAGGAGTGAGCTGGTTGCTGGTGCTACAGCTTCCCTTCCAGTCAGGGCTCCTGCCTCAGCTCTAGTTACTTCTGCTGACAAAGGCCAGCCTACCATCACTGGCGTAACCTCCCACAGTCCTTCTGTCTGCCCAGCTGTAGCTGCTACTAACTCATTGTCTCCCTCAGCCTCTCTCATTCTCAGAGGCCCCCCTAATGCTACTCATCAGCCTTTGGTGACCCAGTCTCCTCCTCCTCCAGGAGCAGACTTAAAAGCAGTGCCTGTCTCTTCTGGTAGAACTGCTCAGCTGGTGATAACTAACCCCTCTACAGTAACTACTGCCTTTGAGGTAGCTACTTGTGTGTCTTCTCCAGTTTCATCTTCTCCAGGTCCCATAAGTGGTAAAGTTTCAACTTCCCCGACTACCTTGGGTATGGCACCTATGACTTACAAGGAACTGCCCACTCCTCAGGTAGTAGCTACTCCTGGGATGCCGTTTTCTCCACTGCCTGTTCCTGAGGACCATAAGGCTCGTCCCACTTCCGTATTGGTAAATGTAGGAGCCCCTATTTCTCCATCCCAGGCAGGACTCCCTACCAAAAAAGACCCTACTAATCTACTGCCTGTGGCCCTGGCAGCCCCTGAAAATTCCCCCTCCCTTCAAAGTATATCATCTCTGGAAGTTACTCCTCCTGGAGCCACTGTAGCACAGAAGGGCCTTGTAGGGCCTCTCCCTGTGGCTGAGCCAGCTGGTGCTACAGCTGCTGCTTTGGGTATCAGCTGCCCAGACTCTACTAGTATGTCTCTTGAAAGTTCTGTTTCTGTCCCAACAGTGCTTGCGATGCCTTTGGAAAGTGCTGGGCCTGTGGGAATGACTCCTCCAACTACACCCAGTCCTTTTGTAGGAGCTGTCTTGTCAGCTCCTGCAAACCACCCAGCTACAAAGGGTGCTTAC